GGGATTCGAACCACTGACCTCTGCGATACTAGTGCAGCGCTCTACCAATTGAGCTAACAAGCCAACTGGGAGCAGGCCGTTAAGTTGATTCGTAATAAACCCGTGATGATCATACGTATTTAGTACCGCAGTTCAAAATATATGAACTTCATATATCCATTGTATCGGATTTATCATCACGGGTTTATTACGAATCAACTTAACGGCCTGCTCCCAGTTGGCTTGTTAGCTCAATTGGTAGAGCGCTGCACTAGTATCGCAGAGGTCAGTGGTTCGAATCTCGTACAGGCCTGATTTTTTTCAGGTGTGATTTTCGCTATTGCATGAATAGCGCTATCTACTGCGAGGATTGTGCATCATACGTATCTAATACCGCAGTTCAAAATATATGAACTTCATATATTCATTGTATCTGATTGTAAAAACTATGATTCAAATAAATATATATATCTTAAAGAGAGGAGTTCTACCTGTAATTGTCTGGGACAACAAGCTTGACATAGTAGCAACTTCTCAACAAGTGGATCAAAAGATAATGACACAGAGTAATAGACATTTATTTCTCCAATATGGAAGGACTGGTATACAAAATTATCCTTATGCTAGTTTGTTACTTTGCCCATTTAGGTACTAGGGCTTTTGAGAAACGGGACCCAGATCAGTCTTTAAGCACAAATCTGATCAGACTAAATAACCTTTGCACACTTATCAAACATAAATTTTACCAACACAAAGGTGAAAGAAACTGGAGAGAAAATTCTTTTACCAACCTCAAATCAGTTGCTAGTGGGGAACCACCTAGAACAAGCACCAAGGCCTGCTCTGCCAACCATGGGAATAGTGCATCCAGAGCAGGCAGGATACCCAGAATCCATAGCAAGGGTAGAAAGAGAAACAAAATATGCAGAGCCTTGTCTGTTGCCACCAACTCTGAGTAATGTCTGGTACAAAATAAGAAAAGAATTGAAATTTAACATTATACAATACGCGTACATGTAACATTTCAAAATCATTATTATACTTAACAAGATAGCTGGCTAAATTCAAAGGTTTGTTTTGGTTGCCAAAAGAGATATACCAAATATATTATTATTTTACTAGCCTCGTTTTCTTAATCTATACTGTACATAACAAAACCTAGTTTTCCAGGACAGATTTATAGCCTGCACACTTTGTACTTGGGTCATAAATCTGAGTGGAGTGGAAAAAATGTAATCCATAATATTTACAGTGCAGACCTAACCTCAGTAAGTTACAGAAGTACACAATAAATTTAATGATTATTTCATTTGTTGCTAGCTGAGGAAGGGGTGGATTCTGGGAAGGAGATGTACATGTGCGCATTGTGGTCCTACAGATTGCCTTAAACAATAATATGAGATGTTGAAATTCCTATTAGTGATATTCTTAATAATTAATAAGTGCTCTAAATTAATTACTATATAATGTTGGGAGTCTACAGCTGTAGCTTTCACACAGCCAGCAAAACATGATTACTTTAATATTTGACCCCCTCTCCCCCCATTAAACCAGCTGATTAAATGTTATCCTGTCTTCTTTAATTTTTAAGTTCTATATGTGTAGATGCAAGCTGCAGTACTCTAAAATCAACATTCATGGTGCTAAAAGGTTCTTAACGTCTGCAAAATCTGATATTTATGCATTTTCCCTCATCATTTCCAAGCTACACTGACCACATACCAGCACCTCCTGAGGGAAATTTAGGTTTACATCTTATTCTTTTACAACATTTTGTAAATTGAGAATGAGGGACTTATGGGTGTATTATTCTATCAGCTTCAGCTAAAGACCATAATGTTTTTCAACAATTTTTCAAAAAATATTGCTGAAGGTGTCCAAATCTAGGTAAGCAAAGTCTGTCCTTCAGCCTTCTGGCTCATCGAGCTGGAGCTTATCCACAGTTCCAACATAGCATGAAGCAGCTATGAGTAGTTTATTAATACTAAAGGAGTTCCCCCCCTGGGGAGGGATACCAGTCCATTACAAGATTACCCCACAGCATTTTATCAGGCATCCTGGATAATTCACTAAGCTTACACATTTACATTCCTGTATGCAAAGAGACTCTGAGAATTAAATAGTAAAGAGTTTTGCCCAAGACCGGCTGACCAGGTCTGGAATGCAGACCTCTAATAACCCAGAGTCAAGCACACTAACCATTAGGCAATGCATCTCTTGCCAAATCTAGGAACATGTAGATTAAATTCAAACAACTTTACTACACAGAGAAAACAGTTCATCCTGCTAAATTTTATCAATAACAAGTGACAGATATGTAAACTTATACATTCAAAACAGTTTGTACAATGTTTTCCTATGAGGGAGGTTGGGAATATCACTCAAAAAAAAAGTTAATCTTGCTAAAATCTGTCAATGATGAGTGGTAAAGTCTGTTTACGAGCCTAGTGGCCCATTAGGCCGGTGCTTAACTCCAGTTTCTGTAGCATGAAGCGACTAGGAGTATTTCTACTCCCCCCTGGATGGGATGCCAGTCCATCGCAGGGTTACCCCCAGCATTAAATTGCCGGTACCCATTTATACACCTGGGTGAAGAGAGGCACTGTGAGAATAAAGTGCTTTGCCTAAGAACACAACACAATGTCCCGGCCGGGGCTCGAACCCAGACCAGTCGATCCGGAGTCGAGAACACCAACCATGAGGCCACCGTGCCTCCACACGTCAATGATGAGTGACAGATATGTAAACTTATACATTCAAAGCAAAATATTTTATACAATATTTTCCTGAGGGAGGTTTGGATAATTTGAGACAGTTACACACCACTGTGAGTCATCTACACATAAGGTTAGAAAAACTTGTCAAACAATTCTCCCAGCCTTCTAAATCTTTAGAAAATGCTAATTGTGCACATAAGACTGAACATTCCTCTATTATTTTTCTTAAAATATTTCATAAATTAATACCATACCCTCATCTAGAACACACCTATCAACCAATGAGAGCATTTATACGTACAACTAGTACTAGTAGTACCTCATTTTATTTTACAAACAATTCTAAAGATCAACCCTTTCATGGTAAATACCTTGCAAAAACTCCAATGATTCCGAATATCACCACATAAAATGATCTCATCAGTGGAGCAATTTCCAATGTGTCCAGAGCTCTAAAAATAGCCAACTCAGATGGGCATGAAGAACTCAAAGAGAACTGAGAAATGCACACTGTTAACCATCCCAGAGTGTAAAGAACCACTGTAGCGCACGTGTTTGAAAACAATCCAGCAAGGTTCGACGGTAAAAGATACAAAAACATCAAACCACATACGACCCCAGATATCACTGCATAGGTAATCATGTTTACAACAAATCTCTTTGCGGGAAAAATAAACTCTACCGTTTCTACACCGCAACACGAAACGAAGTCAATCTCGTCGTCTTGAGACAAGAGGTTCTTTTGAAATTTAGCAAGACTCGTCGCATTTCGACGCATTGACCAGCTGAAAAGCTGTGTACCTGTTATAAATACGACCACAAGGCCTCCATAAATAAACGCGTTAATGTACACATCGGTTATGACTTCGAACTCAGCAAGAAGAGTAAAAATCCCTCCAAGAATGAAAGGTACCAAGAACACCAATACTTGATTCAAGTAAACGTAGAACGGTGCATCGTATCCGAGTTTTAGCTTCAATCCACCGAGCAGTGTTTGCGGGAAACGCTTCCAGAAGAATTCAAGTTTGTAGTCGTTCAGCAAAGGTGCCCCACCACCTTCCATAGAACCCATCACATTCAATAGTCGAATGTAATCTTACCGCATCGACCGGAGACGTTTGATAGATAACAAACTTTGTCCTTATCCGGCGTTTATCCGGTCAGTATCTCAGTCAGATCGTCCTGTAGTATTTCAAACGTTAAATACTTGTAAGCTGAGGTTCAGTCGATTCTTCGGTGTATTCAAGATCTGTCATTATTTTCCGTGAGCTATGAAATCTTCGATGTTACATGAAGCTCCATGAAGAAATGGGGAAGTAAAGTCGTCCCTTGTTGACTGGCCCCTTTGTTTTACCTATCGGATTTGAACCAAGGTAGTACACCAAAACGTGAAGGATTTCCGTGCAGCAAAATCAGTCCGTGATGAGATATTTGGCTTATTTACTGAGTTTTCCAACTCATTTCAATAGGAACATTTCTGCATTATTTTCTTTGAAAAATTAAGTTGATGTTGACGTCAAGGCAACCGTGAACACCTGATTGGTTCATGACCTTCCATCTCACTGGGGTAGGGCTGGTAGCAATATTGCATCTTTAAAGACCTGGCTGGGGTGGGTACCCTTAAGTTGGGAATTTTCCAAAAATAGGTAATAACAATTATTAACGGTTTTTGCTTGAGTCTTTTTCTTTGTTTACTTTTAATTTGTATTATGCAAGGAAATAAAAAGTCCTCATTTCAAAGCAGTTCAAGAAATGTTTTAAAAAAAAAATTAAAAAGATTGAGCACTCAAGAGTCTCAAGGTGGGGCAGAACAAGGAAGAACTGATGATAAGGTTACATCCAAAGCTCCCTTGATGCGTCAATAACCCCTATAAATCCATGTTCATCAAGTTCCCAAAACTGTGAAGCTCATAACTGAGTGGCCATGTTCCATGCCACTGCCTGATAATTGCAAGCTTTTTAGATTGCAATGTTTCATTATATTTCAGCAACCTCCCAGTTTACCTGGCAATAAAGCTCCACTGAGTGACTAACTAATTGAGAAAACACTTGGAAATTCACTTCTCAAAAAGTTCAGTCAATTTTATTCAATCCACTTGTCATGTTTATCACTAGCTATTTCTCCCAAATGTTGGAAAAATCAGTGTATTGGCACACAAACCAATGCTATGGAATCCAAGCACAAAGTGGAGAAAATCCTGAACATATACCATTGCAATCAAATTTTAGCCCAAGTCAAATAGATTTTGAGGGATACTTAATTCCCCCACATGGATTAAATAAGGCCTTGCAAAATGGAGCGACAAAAATAAAATCTGCATATCCCTCATGTTTCCCTCACCTTTTCCATTACAAGTATCCTTACTATTTGATTTTTTCTTTTGGTTGTGTGCCCACAATAGAACCCAGTCTGCATAATACAATGATGACATAATAAAGGTTTTTTAATTAGAAATATTTCCACACTGGAAAATTCTTTTGTCAATGTCAGGGCTGAGTCAGATCACCATAGGAGAGTTTCCCTATCATGCCTCAGGTGTTCATAAAAGTTTCCCTATACACATTTTGATTGCCCTTTTGATCCAGAACATATTCTTTAAATAGGGGTCAACATCTGTGTATACAGGGTGTGTACAAGTTCAGCTGTTACAATTCCATGGCTCTGCATGAATTTTTCCATGACTTCTTGAAAATTCCATGACCTGAGCGAAACAAGTGTACTGAATGGTTCATTCCAAATGGAACACAAATTTGCATTAATGTCACACAGGAGTGCAGTATAAACAAAAATGTCCACAAGTGTAGATCTTACAATACATGCTTATCTTCATTTCAGCTTAAATTCAATCTTGTTTTATGACTTGTCTGTTAACTTTTCAACTATGAATCCACAATGCTTTTCACTCACAGAATGCATGCCAATTTTCTATGACTTTCCATGATTTTCCAGAAGTAACACCTATATTCCATGCTTTTCCAGGCCTGGAAATTGGAATTATAACATATCAAGACTTTCCAGGTTTTCCAGGACCCATACATACCCTGTACATGGGGGGAATTCCCTACATTAGACTTTGACACAGTATTACAGTTACCAGTACTTTCAATATAGTTACAAATTGGGCTAACATCACTACAAAATACTGTTTTGTTTACAATTTTATGTCTGTTAGATCATGACACCCTGTTTGGAACTACTGCTAATGAATAAAAGTTTTCAATCAGTAAACTAGTTAACTGTAAAAAACGAGCTCTGATATCTTTCTGTTGCATAAAAAATATTATCTACTAGATATATTCAAGACCCCTACTAATGTGGGTTCACACAGGAATACATGTACAAAGTATACACTCAATTTTATGCCTAATGCTGCATTTTGACATTGATGTAAACTCTTGTAAACAGCATCTTTACAAGCTCATTGAAGATAAGTGGTACATTGAGAGGTGTCTGCCTTCACATACATGTTTACAAAGTCAACAACACAAGGGTTTACTTAACCATGAAACCTACCCTAATTCATACAATATTCAAAGCTTCACTAAACTGTCTGTACCACATCATGTACTCTAGCTACATGTACAGCATGCCAATGAGATTAAAAAAAAAACTAAAAACAAAAAACAAAAGAAAAAAAAAAGAAAAAAAAAAAGGTGTTCACAGTTTTTGACAATGCAGAGCAGTGGACAGTTGTGTTGGTGTAGTGTGTGCTAAAATTCTGTGCTCTTCACATAATTACAGATTACAGTTTGGAAACAGTTATAAAAGTTCAAAACTTGTTTGGCATGTTTTCTACACTTTGTTCACCAACATTTCCATTTAGTAATTCAGCAGTTTTTTGAAGATCTAAGCTGTTGCCTCCTTCTAAAGATGCTAATCTCTCAGCTGCCATTCTTTCAACATATTCTCTTTCTCTTCTTTCTTGTTCTTCCTCTTCTCTTTCCTAAAAGAAAAACACCTCTAAATTACATTATTCCTCTCATTGACCCCTTAATACCCACAATGTATATGTGGTTGTAAACCTTTTCACTCCCAAGCTCTTATTACAAGTTGTAAAAATTCTCCTTAGCATATGACATTCAATTGTTATGATATTAGTTGGGAGAACTTAATATTGGATCAACTAATTATTCCCTATTAAATTTTTTTTTTTCATCACTTGTCTGCTAGATATTGTATTGATATTTTAAGGATAAATTTCTTCTTAGTCACTCATGGGATTTTAAGGGTAAACTGAGTGGGAGGGCAATACAGGAAAACACTTGGCTTGAGGTCATAACCTACATGGACTGGGTGCAGTGAGGTCCATGCACCATGACCCAAGACAAATATATACTAGTACAGCCTGGGGTTACTCAGTCATTGAGCATATTATCATTTTTTTTTTAGCTGTCATTCATCCTTTTTTCTTCTTTTACCTTTTCGCTTGCAGTTCACAGGGCCATACAGCTTTTATTGGCTCTGCTCTCATTACTGAGTTATCATACTAGGATTTTTGTCTCTGGTCTCCTTCAATAAATGTAGGTGTGGGCTGTATGGGGTAATACAATACTCAAAAGTATGTGTTTACAGTGTAAAGGAATGGAGCAACAGATTTCAAAACAAATTCTTGGCAAAAAAAAAATGAATACAATTTCTCTGTTCAAGGACAACCTTATTCAAATAAAAACAATCAAAATAATGAACAAAAGTAAGAACTCTAAAAATCATGATCATGCAATTAATTGAATGTAGAAATTTTGTATAAAATAAAGTCTGAATATTTCGCCAAACAGATTTGTGAGACCATTTAGAAATGAAGTTGGGGATTCCTTATTAAGGGTTCATCAATGAATGAAGCAAACCTTAACCATAGGTAACCACCACAGAAATTTTCTGAATGATACCTATCCAATATCAAGCAGACAGGAGATGAGAATAAAGAAAGTATCAACTTCTAGCCTGGGATTAATGCCTGTAGTTGATCCAATACAAAATTCTCCACACTAACATAATAAGAATGGTAATTAGCAAACAGTAAAGAGAATTACTCTTGAGATCTGACAAAGGAAGGGTCAAAGCAACTGGGTTCAATAAACCATCAGTTATTTCCTTTTAGTGTACCTAAACAGTAGGCTCTGTTCAGCTACTCAAACTCAAAATATCCTTTGCTTTTCATCGTCAAGGAACTCATGCAGGATTTGCACCCAAAAATATTCTAACTGTTACAGGAATAATGAAGTAAATTCATCTTTTTGTGCTACATCATCTCACTGTTTTATCATATACCAAAATAAGTATTCACCTTGGTGTCAGTGGCTGGCAAAAGATATTCACTCAATAAATATCAATCACTACCCACCTTCACATTGCTGAGTAATTCTTAAATATTCACCAATGTACTACTGACCTGCTCCTTGAGTCTATAGAATTCATCAATAACATATTGATATCTAGGAGTGGTGATTCCAAAGAAAGCTGCAAGTTTTTCTCCCAGATATTCAGCCACTACAAATAAAACAAAAAATAGGGAAAGAAAAAAAGAAACAATTTGTATGTATCAGTAATTTTATGAGACAGGTGAACTGAATTGACAACTGCCAATATTACAGCTGGCAACTGAGACCGACCTTGAAATGTCAAACATTGCTATCGTACTGCCATTAACAACAAGTTATCAGAAATCAGGGACTCGTACTCATACACTCACAACAATTAGCATTTTTCAAAGCTTTGAGGAACTAAAAAAAATAAATAAATAAAAGTACTTCCAGAATGTAGCACATAAAATGGTGTGAGATAATTACAAAAGTGATGACTTTACAAACTACCTGTCTAGAGGGATGTAAATACCTTTTAGAGCTCCACTGGATACTGCTACAATGTAGTACCAAACCCAAAGAGGCCATGTAAGGTCAGACTTGAAAATCAAAGGGTAAACTTTCTCAATTACATCTCTATAATTTATCAAATCATAATATCATAACCTTGGATTAAATATCTACACTGTTGATCATAAGGAATTTCAGAGCATTACGAGTTATTAATTCATACAAGTAGACTGTAATTGATTTAGGCTGACGTTGCATATGGTGGCTGTCAATATTTATGTTGTTAAAATATACATCACTATGCATCAGTTCTATATATACATGCACAATCATGTATATTGCATTACACACAGATGTACAAGAGGCATATTTCATTTACTATGTAATATATATGCACCAAATTAAAACTGTCACAGATAATGAAAACCATATTTCTAAATTGATTTCTAAATGCCTGCTATAATCTATTCTTTATCATCCTCATGTGATCAGTTAAGCTTAACACACCAATACTTGGAGAAACCATAATAAGAACAGTGATAATTATTGTTTTGTGGGTACGCAATCTTAGCTGCCATGCCACTTAATACACTTGGATTTATAAACATCAATTTATAGTATCCCTTAACTTGTTTTTCCATTAGTATATAACAAATTTTTGTAAATTGAAGAACTACATGTATTGGTTGGACTCCAGTCTACATTAAGATTGTGGGTTTCATTATACCACCATGAAATTTACAGCAACTCAACAGCACATTGAGATATATTTTTATCATTAAGTACTAGTGGGATCACCAAGGTGATGATGGTTCAGGAAAGGAATATTAATGATTGCAGTGACTGACACTTTAGATGACATGAAGGGAACTCATCATCAAAGTCAAGTGTTTTTACCCCAAATACACTGTAATACTGTAGTTACATGAAAATAAATATATCGCTTGTGTGCTCAATACCCATTCTTAGACTCATGGCTTTTCAGGAAAAGAAGAATTATAGAGGAGATCATTTAAAATTGATGCTTGCCATCTGAAAACAACAAAAAGTCTTATCTCTTCTCAAATAATTTGCTAGCTCCTTGCATCATTCTAAGTCATAACTTAATAGCAATTATAAATGTGCTTCTCTTGACTGAAAAAAATTCCACTGTTCTGGTAATAGTATCTCAAAGTAAGCACCTTCTTCAATGACAACGACTAGTTTTTGCACCTGGCGGTTAATGAAGTAATCAGTATTTACCACTCGTTTTAATGAACATGTAAACCGTATCGGAGTGTGTAAATTTTTGGCAGAATAGGCAGGTGAAGGTGACAAATTCTAGAGCTAACGTCCCATTAAATTAATGGTGTATTGAAACAATCACTTTACTCTGTTTCGTTGCTTTTTCTCCGTAATGCTGCATAAGTATTGAGTGATATCAATAATATTGCTCCGCAAGGACGACTGCTAAAAATTCGTTAAATTACGTTTTGTTTCCCTGGCTGCTACTCGTGAATGCTCTTTTCGCGATCGAATTTGCTTCCCATCAAACACACACGTAGTTAAGTTCAGGTTTCAAGGGGAAATTCCTTATCATTCTGTATCTGAAACGTCGTACACTGATTTAATTGTCAACGTAATCAAAACACTCTACGTGTATCTGCATCTATTAAGCAGACACAATCCGAAAGCATTGGGAATAAATGACACATGATTGTCACGCACTAACCGGATTAATTTCAGTCTCTTTTTTCTTTCTGCTGCTTCTTCTGTCATCGTCTGAACTACTGTCGGATGAATTTTCAGAAGGCTGGTTCTTCTTCTTCTTTTTCGTGTACTTTTTCTTCCGTTTGTCGTCCGAGAGGTCGCGATCAGAGGGTTCGTCTTCCTCTTCGTCGTCTCCATCTCCGTCCAAATTAATCGTTTCAAATTCATTTTTTAAACCTGAAAAGTTAACTTGAGGTAAACCTGCAACACCTAAATCAATATTCCCTTCATCTTCGTCGTCGGAATCGTCTTGCTTTTCTCCTGTCAGGGCCGTTTGCTCTGTTGTTGTACTGCTTGTCGTTTCCATGTTTGTTGTGATCAAGGTTTCAAAAAGAACAAGGCATGCGCGATATTCGTGTGTCAAGTGCTACTAAGCAATTGCGGGCTCGAGTAGGGCCTGAGACTGGGCCTGAGAGCTTAGTCTCATACCCAGGCCCACGGCCAAGTGGTGGTTAGCTAGGTCAGTTCAACCGAAGGCATTTTACGCGGAAAATTCCCCGATAAACAAGTGACATTCTCATCAAAATCTAACAAAATTCCAATGATAGTCCCTTTCGAAATATAAATTTTGATATTATCAATATAAGCCAAAACAGATCTCAATTGTTTAAAAAGGGTTAAGCTGTACTGTTGATAGGCCTTTCCCGATCCCGATTATGCTTGCCGCATTTTTTTACGACGTCAATGTTTTCTACATTTTTTGTCAAAAGCATATCTTCACTTTTTGTTAGTATCCTAAGACTAATTTTCCAAGTTGTTCACATATATGTGCTGGTACTTAGAAAAACGCCCAGTCGGTCAGCGTTTGTTTGCATGGGGTTGTACCCTGTTTAGTTTCACCATCTGCAGGTCATAAAAAGGGCTTGGGGTCAATTCAATAAAACTTTTACACTTGTAGCTTTTACAAGTGTAATTTCGACATGTAAATTCCGGCTTGTGAAAACATTCATTCAATAAAAATGTTTTCTGCACTGGAATTCACAAGTGTAGTTCAAGGTTTCTTACAAGTGTAACCTACGTGTAGCACTACAGGTGTAAATGACGGGTCTTTACACTTCTGAGGAACAAGCGCGGCTCTGAACAACTACTGACTTATTCTCGAAACGACATATTTTCATAATTCAGCTTTCTAAGCAATAAAAACTGTTACTGGCACAACTTGCGAGAGAAATTAAATCTGTCCTGCTGCGACCGTTTCCTTCGACGGTAACCAAAAAGAAAAAGGAAGAGGCGTAGGAGAGCATTCGTGTTCAAATAAATGGCGTGGGTGCGGGAATAGAGAGTACTGTAGGTTTGCGAAATGTTCTGTGGGCAAACATTCAGCGGGCGTCTATAGGGAAGGTCAGTCAGCAAAAGAAGACGGCCGCCCAGTTAGCCCAATGGATAGTGCGCTGGACTGTAGTGCGGGAGGTCAAGGGTGCGAGTCCCGGCCGGACCAACACCCAAGGTCTTAAATTGATTGAGAAGAATTTGCTACCTTTCTATAAAATCAAGAAATGGTTAGATATTCTAGTCTTCTCGGATAGGAGCGAATAAATGGAGGTCCCGTCTCCTGCAGGGTTGGGGGTAGAAGACGTTAATTTCCCACATACGAGATTACTGTGCGACGGATGTCCTCCCCTGGGATGGGACGGGTGGGTTTACAGGGCCCGCTGTAATTGGCGCAAGCTGTTGCGGTGTCCCTGCCTGTCGGCGAATCTGATAAATTAAATTAAATTGAAGTGGAGGCCCTGCCAGCTTACTAAGTTGGGCGAAACTGTTCTGGACATGGTTGGGCATGAGAGTGCCAATTTAGAGCCTGCTCAGGCCCCAGACACATATATCGTCATTGCAGAAATCGCACAAGAATGCCTCACATGCAGTACAAATTCCTTTCTAATGATTTTCTGGGCAATTTCTTTGTTATAAATGCAGAATGGCCAAGTACTAGTGGGGCTACTCCAACTGAAGAATTTCAAGGGATACCGGAGTTGGATGAGACAATAGCAGTAATAACTGAGCCTAGTGATGAGGACTCACGATCCTCTTCAATGGGGCACAGCCTAGGCCATTTGCAAATGCTTCCTCATCCCAAATTAAGAGTGAGCAAAAAACAGAGGAGGCTCAAAGGGGATAACAGCTGCCTCAGGAGAACCGGATGTAGAAGAGCTTATGCGATTGAAAAATAGAAACTACGACCAGAGTGAACAAAACTAGGTCTGGAAATAAAAAAACTAAGGAAAGATTTACTTGCACGAGAAAACGATAAGGCAAAAGTTACCATATTGCAACTCATTAATGTGTTAACAACTACCCTGAAAGCGAGTAATTGAACCGATAAGGTGAGCCAAATAAAATCGTGGATTTGTAATGTCAAACAGCCTGTCTTTCCTCAAAATTTCGAGGCTGACCAAAGATTTGTTGTTCTATGAGTTCTTCCAGTTCTTCATCGCTGCAAGAGAGCATGATTTTACTCAATACTGAACGATTTTTACCATTGTATACAAATTTTACGAGTGACTTATGACTTGTAATTTGCACTTGTAATTTACAAGTCGAATTATCTCAGAAATACAAGTTGGACAATTGTAAAACGTTTATTGAAATGGATATCTACTGAATTCTACAAGTGTAGTGCTGCACCTGTAATTACAAGTCGGACACTTGTAACCTGGACTTGTAACGATCTTAATTTATCAAACTCGTTTTCGTCTACACTTGTAACGGTCCAACTTGTAAATTACAAGTGTAAAAGTTTTATCAGTGAATTGACCCTGCAGTGAAGCAAGTTCTCTTTGTGCTACTATCCTTTTCTGCAGCAGAGAGATTATTCTTGATTCTTAAGTCATTCGGCGTTCAACGTGTCCTCGTCAGTTGACTGCTAGCAAGCAAGTGTACAATCGCATGTGGTAAAACAAGCAATGGGTGCTTTGAACATGTCATGCAGCGCAGAATATTCTTCAAAGGACAATTCAAATTAACGAAGAGCTGTTTTATAAGACCAGACACATGTGAGAAACATAAACAAGTATTATATATCTGTGAAAAGAAACAGAAATGTGTTTTTCACTTTATTCAGTTAACGCTTAACACACTTGATGCCTGCTTTTTAGCAACAGAGGTAAGATTCTGCATGCTAGCTCCTTTAGTCGACGCTTTTCGTTTCGTTTACTCATCCATGTATTGGTGAGTCCATTCCTTGAGGGTGTTATGTACTGTTCATTGTGACATGTCAGCTACCCCAAGGTCCCCACTGTTGGACTGTTGGGGTAAACTAGCTCGAGCACCCTGCGCTAACGGGAGGCACCAAGAGTCGGATCAACGAGAACTCTTTTTTGGGGGTGGCTGTCACTCTTAAGTACACGCTCCTAAATATCCTATCGGTAGGCGGGTGTAGGCTTACGGGACAACTGACAGTAGCATATTGAACGTATTTTTAAGAAGACAAGCCCAAACAATTTCACGAGACTTTCGAATAACGATCGATCTTCGAGAACTAAAAACCCAACAAGACCTCCCGTTGAGGACTCTAAGCAAGATGAGTAGGCAAACCCAAACACGACTAGCGCTGGCGATTGTTGTCCGAGAATTATTACGGTAAGCCCTATTGTAACGGTCGAGGACAAATAACTCAAAAGCAAAACTACATGTGTGGTCCTGCATCACATGACAAAACAAGACTCGTACAAGGACTTCAAGATAATCTAAAAGTCTAGAAAATTCCTAAGCGCATAGCCAGAACACTTATAATTTCTATAAGTTCAGTAACGCCTTGTTAAACGTTAAGTTTAAAGCGATGAAGGAAACCTGATCTAGACCCTCTACTCAATGAGGTTTTTGTTTACAGTAATGAATAAAAGTAATTTAGTGTGAACCGGCACCAAAGTTTCAAAGTAACTAAATTTCCCAAAGGAAAAAAAGACTATGTTTCGAGAAAGAAAATTGCGACGTGGTATATTCAGAGGGACCGCAGTACTCGTGATCCGAGCAGCGAGTTTCGTTTGGGACAGCAGCCTTAGCGTCAATCGAGGCAGATGACAATCCTTGCGTCAACGTTTTTATTTCCAATTGAGTTGTCTGCAGCCTGGGTTGCATCCGAATACACCTGCGTTATACAGATGGCTCTTTGATACTTAATAGTCAGCAATATGATCGTACTACAAGATAAAGCAGCACTAATTCTATTTGCTCAAGATTTAATTGTATGACCAAAGGCGGTAGATCATTCGCAGTCACTACCTGTACACTTTGGAATAGCTTAAGTCTAGAACTCAGGAATTCTGTGTCATTAGAATCTTTTAAGAACAGTTATAGAAACAACCTTCTTAAGGTACAACAGAAGGTACATCATTTTATAGTCTAACATATGATTCATCATTTGCTCTCAAGTTACATTTTGTTTTTACTCGTAATTCGTCTTCTTATTAGATAAATATTCCTAGTTTTTATTGATAGTTATGTTAGAATTTTAACATATATTGCTTGTTAGAAGTTTTTAAATAGAGGGCCACAAGTTTATTAGCTACTTCAGCTAGTCCGTGCCGCCCTCTCTAAATAAAGTGTATTATTATTATTATTATTTATTATTGTTATTATTATTATTATTATTATTATTATTATGCACAGAATAACCCGATAAATCAATTTCGGAGTCCGATACGGAGTTGTCCAACCATGTCTCTGTAATTCCGATAAATAAAGGACGAATGTCTTGAAAAGTTAGTCTCAGTTCGTCGATATAAGCCCTGATACTTCTACAATTGAAGTGGGCCAGCCAAAGTTCGCGTTTAGTATGGTCAGTATGTATAGACGGCGGGTGTTCGTTAAAATCTCAGCATTGGAACCGACGGTTATTTGACGGTGTTGTTTTGGGCCCGGGTTAACAAGATTTATGCCGCTTCTCGTGAGCATTATTATCGAGGGGTTGAAAGACGCAGACGACGCCGAAGAGTAGTAGATTCTACGGCTTAGAAAACGCTTCCTGATGTAAATGTCTTTGTAAATGTGCGAGAAGTCCTTCGATGATGGTCCGACTTCAAGATGGTGGGTGGACTGACTTCTTTGCCAGCTACTCGAAAGGCTTATTTCGGTGCTGAAAGAAGAAAGTTGCTCGGCATTGTTGATCCACCTTGACCCGATAAACTTACGTTCGAGAACGGATAGATAATGAGACAGTACGGGAGCAACGGCCGAGACAAGGAAGAACTTGATGCGGAGCCCGAGAACGAGCTTACTAACGCCATGACGCCACCACTGCAATCAGATTCCATCAAACATGATGTTGGCTGTTCTTGGTGGTGATGAAAACTCATTACAAAGGCAATTTGGTTATATCATCTAAGTTGAA